ATTTTTCACCAGCAAAATCATTCGCCATAGACAGGAACAGGTGGTAATCACTTGGTGCCAGGTCCGGACTATAAGGTGGATGCATAAGAACCTCCCAACCAAGCTCCCGGAGCTTCTGGCGAGTCACTATCGATGTGTGTGGCCTGGCGTTGTCCTGATGGAACACAATTCCTCTCCTATTGGCCAAAGCTGGCCGCTTCTGGGCGATTGATTCCTTCAGACGGTCCAATTGTTGACAGTACAGGTCCGAATTAAGAGTTTGGCCGTAGGGGAGCAGCTCATAGTGGATGATTCCCTGCCAATCCCACCAAACATACAGCAAAGCCTTCCTGACTGTCAATCCTGGCTTGGCCACCGTTTGCGTCGGCTCACCGCGTTTCAACCACGACCGTTTTCGCTTGACGTTGTCGTAAGTGACCCACTTTTCATCACCAGTCACCATCCGCTGCAGAAATAGGTCGATTTTGTTGCGATTCAGCAGCGATTCGCAGATGGAAATTCGGTCCATGAGGTTTTTTTACGTTAACTCGACACCCATACATCTAGCTTCTTTTTGTATCCAGCCTTATTCAAGTGGTTCCAAACGGTTTTTTGTGTAATGTTTAGCTCCTGGGCAATCGAAACAGTGCTTACATGACGGTCGGACTCGACGATTTCCATTATTTTATCGACATTTTTGACAATTGGCCTTCCAGAGCGTGGTGCATCTTTGACATCAAAATTACCGGAACGGAATCGACGAAACCAAAATTGCGTGATTGGCTGTTACAGTATCAGGACCATAAGCACTATTCACATTTTCAGCCGCCTGGCTTGCGTTTTCGCCTTAATCGAAGAAAAACTAAAATATGGCGTATTTTCTCTTTGCTGGTGTCCATCTTTGACGCGCGTTCAAACAATACTGAGTCAAACAATCACAAAACTGTCTGAGAAGTTTTTTTAGTACGAAATCTTATCTTTCTAATACCATCTAGCGTAAACCGATCGCACTTATACAACGCGAAATACACATTACTAAAGCCATGTATTGGAAAAATAATGGATTTCTTTTTACTACACCTTATATATCACGTACACGATACTCGTAAGAAGTCGTTATTTGCATAGCAACAACATGTAATGTAGACAATTATACATAATCTTAAAAATGTCATTTAATAGACGTCATAAAGATATCTGAAATAAGATGTCTTTGAGACGCCTTTTGAAAACATCTTAAAGACGTTTGAAATAAGGCGTCTTTAAGACGTCTTTCTAGCAACGTCTTAAAGACATTTGAAAGAAGACGTCCTTTAAACGTCTTTTGGTAATGTCATAAAGACGTGTTAAATAAAATGTCTTTAAGACGTCTTTTAAGATGTGCGTGTTGTATGGGCAGTGTTTTGCAAGAAAAATTTGAGTTAATTATGAAAAAAATACTGTAAAAGTTATAATTTTTTAATTTAAATCTTAAAAAAACTGATATTAAATGACATTTTGAAGTATTTTACTTTCCAGAATCGAAAAGAGCACGCCCTAAAATATTAGAGTAAGTCTTTTCAGAAAAAAAATTATTGCATTTTCATTGAGTTATAGGCGTTCGAAAACATTGAAAAACTTTGTGCATTTGGGCGTTAATGAGTTAATCTGGTGTAGAAATTTAAATGAAAAAGTTTAGTCAAAAGTAAAAAAGTAGGAACTAAAATAAAACAAAATAAAATAGAATAAAATAAATAAAATAAAACAAAATATAGAAACTAAAATTATAACGCTATAAGTATTCTTTCAACTAACCAAGAAAGTTAATTTAACTGTATAATATAAGTAATTCCACTCAGAGGATGGACGGTTAAGTAAATCAGACGGTAAGTAGATTGAATTAATATTTATATGATAATTGGACGTTTGCAAGATTTGTTCAACTTACCAGGTGTAGAAGTATGAAACCGGAATTTTTTTATACAAATAAGACGTCTGTTGTTCGAAAGTGATAAATAATACTTTATTCAAAATAATTTCCACTGTTTTGAACACATTTTTCCCACCTCTCTGGCAGTTTATGAATGCCGTGCCAAAAAAACTTTTCATCTTTTGAAGCGAACCAGTTATCTAGCCATTTTTCCACATTTTCATACGAATCGAAGCGTTGGTTAGCGAGAGCGTGTCCTAGCGATGCGAACAGGTGATAATCGGACGGAGCCAAGTCTGGAGAATAAGCCGCATGCGGTAGTAATTCCCAACTGAACGACTCGATCGTTTCCTTGACCCGTTTTGCTGTATGTGATGGGGCATTATCATGGAGCAAAATGACATTGTGTTGCCTTTTTGCATATTCTGGTCGTTTTTTAGTCAATGTTCGATTTAAATCGATCATTTGTTGTTGGTAGCGATTAGTATTGACGGTTTGACCAGGTTTCAGCAGTTCATAGTTCATAGTTCATAGTTCATAGTTCTTCGTTCCTCACGTCAAAATCACCACTTTTGAATTTTTTAAACCACTCGAAACACTGAGATTTACCAAGAGCATATTCACCGTAAGCTTCGACAAGCATTCGATGTGATTCTGCAGCAGTTTTCTTTAAATGATAACAGAAAATCAATGCTGTCCGCAAATCATAGTTAGTAGGCTCGAAACGTGACATGTTTAAGGTTATACAAAAATATACTAGAGAATGAAAGTTGGGGTTATGTTTGTTGACAATATTCGTCAGCTGTTAGGAGAATATAATAGCGCGGCAGTAGCGGTCTTACGGTCACTAAACTGAACGCTGGCACCATTTATAGGGGAATTCCGGTTTCATACTTCTACACCTGGTAGATGAAATTATTATAACAAGTTCCTTAAGATTGTTAAGATTGTTGAATAAGTTACAATATGCAAAGTTCGGAAATACAACTCAGCAGCCATCAACAGGTTATGCTAAGCATCTCGCTCGCTCGCAGAGAAGTATAAGTGAGCAAACTTCATCACTTGAAGCTTAATATAATATGTGACTGTGTGTGTATTGCCTGGGATCTAACTGCACAGGTCCGCCTTTTTTGAAGTTTTTTCTGGCTTCTGTATTTTTCGGTTTTGAACCATTATGTTTTTACTGTTAAATTGAAATTAATTGTTAATTTCTTTCTGAATAATTAGTTTCTTTCATAATAAACAAGATAGATAATTATATAAATTAAATCCGTCTATCACGTACATATCATATAGAGGAAGAATTTAATGAAACATTATATTATTCTTTTTGATAACCCAGGCAGCAACGTCACATTATTTGCACGTCGATAAATGGTGATTATCAGTCCTAGACGACATGTAATCAATAAGTGACGTTTAAAAAACATGATTATTTTGACGTGATAATAACGTTATTTAAAGACATCTGTAATACGTTTTTGAGAGGTCATTTTTAATCAGCTATTCGATAATCAAAGAATGTGATAGATGTTTATCTAATGTTCACTTATATCAACTGTGGTTTATGTAACCAACAGATTATTATTTATACACGTTATTTATTTATATTGTTATTTTTTATGTGCTTGCATCTCAAGCATTTGACTCTTAGAAATAAGCCTCATAGAACTTGTCCTACCATTTCTTATTCACAAACATTACATCGTACTTGCAATTATGCAGTTAGTAGGATGATGTTCAAAAATAGTGTTAATAAGGAAATGTTGACCCAGATAGCACAGAGATGAAATAGAAAATCATAGAGAATTCTCACAGATAGTTGGCTATCTGTGTTAATTTAATTAAATCTTAAATGGTAAGGTGGATTTTTTCTTTTTTAAATTATATTATTTTATTATTACTCAAAGTTTATAGTCTTTTATGACTTTGTTTATTTAATAACAGTTAACAATAAAAAATGTTTACTATGAAAATTTAAAGATAACGAAATGGAATATGCGGGATTTTGTAGACCTCACCTCACTAGAGAAAGCTAGGAGATAAATTAACAATAAAGGTACGAAAAATATATATAATTAATTTTTATTAAAATTAAATCATTTTATTAAATTATATTATCAAAAAATTATATTATACTGTGTTAAGTATAATACATATAGACAAAATATAAGATGTTCATATCGATCGAAGAAGTGGTGTAGTGTCTAAGCAACAAACTCATAATCCAGAGATGCCTCATGGTTCAAGTTCGAGTCCCAGTGCCAGTAAGAATTTTTAAATGTGATGTAACATTGGAATCAAGTAATTAAAATTTTTAAGTAAAATCAACAAACGCTGTGACATTTACAAGTAATTTCTGTTAGAAAATAGAACCGAATAAGGATATTCCGACACTTCGTCATTTTTACGTCTCTTTATGACGTCATTTTTACGTTTTATTATTGACGTCGGTGGACTGTGACTTATTCCAGTCATTTTCACGTCATTATTACGTGATTATAAAAGGATAATTGACGTCACGAATGACCAAAAACTGACGTTAATATCACGTCACGTTGCTGTTTGGGAATGTATGCAGCTCATTCAACTCGAGAGAAAAATTAAGTTAAATTTCTTATTCGTTACATTTGACAGCACATTTGGTTATTGTTACTTTTCGAAATAGTCAAATCAACACCATAATTAATCACTTTTACTGAATGCTTACCTCGTTTGATACAAATAAGAGATTACAAGAATATCCAAATGCCGAAAGAATTAAAGCAATTAATTCGTCATATACAATAGAGAAATTAGGTTCACTCAACTTGATTCTAATTACAATCAATTTTTTTATAACATAACAAGGTAGAACGTTTAATCTAATCTGTATACTAGCTATCTATTACTTGTATTGACTCATGTCGACTAGTTACATTTCTATTCGGGAAATTATCAACCATATAATTATTGTGTGTGATCCTTCATCACATTCTGACGTATTCATATGTCTCCGTTATAGAGAATAGTCGGTTTACTGTCCAATCGAGAACTTTCTGGCCAACTTTATACTTATCGGCTTATGTTTACCAATTTGTTTTTCTTACACCAGCATAATATACATTTCTAGCCGATGCCGGTGATACGAGGCCGCTGTTGGGAGAACGCTGCGCGACGCAGTTTCTTCTCTCGCGACAACATGGAAAACTTTATACAATTCTGCCGACGGCTGGGCGTTCACGAGAATCTTCTCTTCGAAAGCGATGATCTCGGTAAAGCTTGGCGCAATTAATTTTAATACATGCGAATTAACTAAGAGCGACGCCGCCACAGTTTGCTTTATCGGGCGACTTTCAACAAGACGTTATTTAAGTACGTACCCGTCTAGACTGATAAGCGGTAATTACGGGAAATATAGTAATCAACGCGCACAATCCTGTCGTGGTCCGCACGTGTTGGAACGTGCATCGCATAAATTACGAAAGGCGGAGAGCGCGTGTGGTATGCAAATCCGGAGCGGCTGTAAAGCGAGAGTAATTGTCAGCGAATTGCGCGCATGAGTCCGAGGAAAGTGGAACGAATCCATGCTCTTGGGAGATCATCGGCTCGCTTTCCCGCTTGACCAAGTTTAATTGCCGTCGAAAACAATGTGCAGTTACGCGAATGATGTAACGATGTAATTGAGCGTAGCGGGGCCACCTTGAAGGAGGTCAGCCGTGAAGTCATACGAGGAATCACGCTGTATGTCTACATTATGACGAGCTTAATGATAATGCTTTTACAGTTTTACACGGTCAACCGCGAAACGTGGTGTTGTGCTTGTTGGAAGTCGCGCGACTGGCGGCTAGATACTCCTTGGAGCCACCTGGGCTCGTGCAACTCGAGAGGGAAATCGCGGCAGAGCAAGAAAGGGATCTTCATTGTTTGTCCGATAGCGGCATATCTCACAGCAGTCTGGTTTCTTGGCAGTTCCAATCACCATCGCCGACAGCGACGCCCAGAACTCCGCCGGAGAAGATCAAACATAGCAGGTAAGTGAACTGTCATTTTAAGATACATTTTTTTCAGGAACGTGTCAAGACGTATCTCTCATGCGAAAACGAGAATAACCTTGTCCTTGTGACAACTTCCAACGATAATCCCGCGTACTGCATCTTTCAACACGTTATCTCTAACGTATAACGGCCAACAGGTGAAGATGTTGCGGGAATAAAATGAGATTGAACCGTTACGGAATGCATAAATTATTCGGCGGCATCATCTCTATTTCGCTCACACATTCACCGCATTCGGGATACCATCTGGCTGCGATATGTTCCCGCTCATTTACGACGGTGGATTTCTCTCGGGTCGACTGTTGTCGGCTGAATGGGTAATCCCGCGAGCTGTTACTGAGAAGGAGACTCGGAATTGCGTTGTAACATAATTTCATAGGAGTGACTGAATTTTACAGTATGGAAAGCTCACAATACTTATGTTAAGCACATCATGATAGATACGCTACATTGTTCTATCCCGAACAATAATCACGGGAACACTGTCCGTTCTATTTTGAACTGATTAGATAAAATATTTCTCGGTCTAAACGTTGTTTTCGCTAAAAATATATATTTCCAGTGCGGAGAGCTATACACTGCAATATGATCTTAATCAGTTTGTTATCTAGCGCCAACTTGCCAATTCAACCGTCTGAGTCAGAGAATTTTGCTATATTGATATTGAAATTAAAATTTTGCTATATTGAAAAAAAATTTAAGTAAAATAAACCAAATCTCTGGATCAATTAATCGAGTAAATTGTATAAAAATTAAGTTTGTATAATCTAATGTAGAAATATTAACTCAATAACTTAATCAAAAGTAAAAAGTTAGTAAAACTGAAATATAGTTATATCGAAATGTTCTCTTAACTCTACGCGAAAAGTTGATCTAACTTCATAATATAAATAATTCTACTTCAAAATAGGAGGTAAGTAAATCAAACGATAAGCACTGAAATTTTGACTTTGATAATTAAATGTTTGCGAAATTGGTTCGATTAGAAGAAATCATTACAGCAGCTTCCTTAAGCTTGTTGAATAAATTGCAATACACACAGTTTGGATTATATGCTTCACCGGACAGACATCGATAGGTTCCGCTGACTACATCGTTTGCTCGCAGATAAATTCTCGTTGCGGCGACATATAAGCAAGCAAACTTCACTACTTAAAGCTTTAAGATGAATGTTCCAAATAGTCTCATCATGAAAATAAATTAAATAGTAATAATAGTATACGTATTAAGATAAATACACAAAATTGATTTGTTGAAAAGCTTGAATATTTAAGATTTTAATTGTGTTATATTTCTTTAATTTATATGGGACGATTTTACTTTATTTATAATATTTTATAATATTTTCTCAAAAATATGTAAAATTGAGGTACCACCAACATTACATTAGAATATACATAGCACATAAATATTTATATATATTGCATATCCTATGTATGTACATTTGGGGTACATGATATGTGATATGTACATGTATAATGTCTGTACATCCGCAACCGCAAAGAGGCACATAGAATGTTCCGTGCATATACATATGTATATATATCCTACATTCTTTACATATCCATGTATATACACTCTGTATATTCTCTGAATATACATAACACATACATGCTAATACGCATTAGCACGTGTAACGTATATACATAAAATATACATTGTATATACATAATGTATATAAAAAAAAATTTTGAGTATACATAACTCGGACAGCACAAAGTATTTATAAACTATATGTTCTTAATTTTCACTTTATATACTTTCCCAGCAAACAATTTGATACCAAATTGTCGCCAAATTGACACCAAATATGACCAAAATTTAACGGCAAATCCGATGCCATCTGCGTCCGCAATATGCTTGGGTTTTGTTAGCAAAGCTTGGTGACAAAATCTGACGCCAAATTGTCGCCAAATTGACACCAAATATGACCAAAATTTAACGGCAAATCCGATGCCATCTGCGTCCGCAATATGCTTGGGTTTTGTTAGCAAAGCTTGGTGACAAAATCTGACGCCAAATTGTCGCCAAATTGACACCAAATATGACCAAAATTTAACGGCAAATCCGATGCCATCTGCGTCCGCAATATGCTTGGGTTTTGTTAGCAAAGCTTGGTGACAAAATCTGACGCCAAATTGTCGCCAAATTGACACCAAATATGACCAAAATTTAACGGCAAATCCGATGCCATCTGCGTCCGCAATATGCTTGGGTTTTGTTAGCAAAGCTTGGTGACAAAATCTGACGCCAAATTGTCGCCAAATTGACACCAAATATGACCAAAATTTAACGGCAAATCCGATGCCATCTGCGTCCGCAATATGCTTGGGTTTTGTTAGCAAAGCTTGGTGACAAAATCTGACGCCAAATTGTCGCCAAATTGACACCAAATATGACCAAAATTTAACGGCAAATCCGATGCCATCTGCGTCCGCAATATGCTTGGGTTTTGTTAGCAAAGCTTGGTGACAAAATCTGACGCCAAATTGTCGCCAAATATCGAGCAAAGTTTGGCGCCAAACACAAACCTTGGTCGGTATTTGGCGTCAATTTAGCGTTAGATTTCACCAAGCTTTGTTCGGTATTTGGCATCAATTTGACGTCAAACTGCGCCGCAATTTGTCAACAACCTTTGATTTAGCAAATGTTGTGTCTAATTTGATGACATTTTGGCAGCAAAATTTGTAGTCAAGCGTTGGGCAAAATTTGCTCGAGCAGATTTGGCTATCTGGGTTTATATTTAGTTTTCACTTTATCTTGTTTTACACGCTACTTGATTCAAGTTAAATTTCGAAAATTTGCTTATCATTGCCGAGATTCGAATCTGAAACCTCTGGTTCTTGAGTCGTTCACTTACTTACTGTACTGACTATCACTTTGAATGAGAGACACTTTGTATTGTATACATATGATATATCCATGTACAAAAACAAAGGATTTATTTAAAAGAAGAGAATAAATAATTTTAAATGTAAAATGTATGTTTAAAAGTATGTAAAAAGTATATTTAAAAAATATTTACTTGTTTTAAAAGTAAATAAGATACAAATAAATTATTTTGTAAATTTAAATAAATTGTTTTCTGATAATAAAAGAAACTTTAATTTAAAACACAAAAAAGATACATGTTATCTGGGGAGCTCCATGATGCTCCATGATGTGAAAAAAACATTCTGTATATCCACTGCACATATATTTCATATACGTAAGATGAATATACATGACGATACCCGTTGCGAAAAGTATTAATGGTATTACTATTGAGATCAGTGGTAAAATCATTTGAATTAATGATAAAACCATATGAACCCAACGGCGTTGTCATTAACGAATGATTTTACTACTTGGTATTCAGTAGGAAAATCCTTCGGTTAGTGGTAAAATGTTTTACTATTGAATGTACTCCAGTAGTAATATCATTCGATCAATAGTATATTAGTTACTTATACTACCATTATATTACCATTGGATACTTATTAATAAGAATACCATTCGATCAGTAGTATAATATTTTGCTATTGCTACGTCGACCGTAATAAATGTTATTGTTAACTGTTTGAATTTGAATGAGAATTTTGAATAAGAGTCGTTACTCAGCCAGATAATGTGTTTAATTATCTGGCTTAATTAAAAATATAGGAAGAAATACCAATAAAACATTGTTTTTTTTTACTTTATATGTTGCTTTCACACATACACATACACACATTATACATATATGTTATCTGTAAATGATAAACTTATTTTTATTACTCTGTTTCTACTTATATGTATGATATGCGAAATATTATCATATATATATGGAAAATCATACATGGTCCTCTGTGTCCCGTGCTTGGGATATAGAGGACCATTTTTTTTTCTAACAATTTTAATGTTTTAAAATAAAATGTTTTTAAAATATGTTTTTAAAATAAAATCTTTTACAGTTATTAAACTAATGCTTTGTCTACGCATGCCCTTGTAGGAATATGCTGAGTAACTTTGGGCCATTTCCTATAACTGATAAATTTTTTATTAACCTTAGAATGTTAAGCGGTCCTCTGTGCCCCGCTCTCCCCTAAGTATCACTGACCAGTGATAAAATCGCTTAGTGTTAAAATATTACTATTGGCAAACACTCATTCAGTTTGCCATTGAAAATATCATTGAAAAAGCCATTCAATTTCAATGATTTTTTTAAATGGTAAAACCATTTATTTTTCGCAACGAGTATATACTGTGTAAAAACGTTAATGGTTTTAATATATACATATCGTACATAATGTGGCATGTATATTTCATGAATATACATATTTTAGAACATACTTCGATACATATCGCATGCATATACGTTAAAGGAAATTCGCAGTACATTTGATATCCGTGATAAAATATACATCCGGCGTATGTATACATGAATATATTATGATGTACATCTTATGTATATACCTTGATAGGCTTAACATGTATACATCGTACATCATATCGCAAGTATATTTTCTGGATATATATATATATATATACATATTAAGTCTATCAAGGTATATACATAAGATGTATACATCATAATATATTCATGTACATACACACGCCGAATGTACCATTTATCACGGATATCGAATGTACCGCGAATTTCCTTTACTAGACCAACATAAGCGCGCGCCATTTAGCTTCCCAGATAGGACAGAGAATTCAAAAAGAATTCAGTCGTATGTCACCGATTCTGATTTCATTTTTAGATGCAAAAGGAATTCTTTTTACTGAAGAATTCTTTTTGCATCTAAAAATTAACTCAGAATTGGTGATATGCGACTGAATTCTTTTTGAATTTTCTGTGTTATCTGGGTTGTCCTACATACATTAACTGTTACAAATAACTATATAATAATTAACTAATAATGGCATGCATTAAAAATTATATACATTAACTGTTACAAATAACTATATAATAATTAACTATTAATAAACAAAAAATTCAAAGCCACATGAAT